GCGCGTTCCCGGGCGCGTGACCGCGGGTGGCTCAGGGAAACGGGGCCCAGGCAGCATCCGAGAGGAGGTAGGCGGCGAGGACCGGCGCGCCATGGACACCGTCCACCTCCTGCTGCTTGTGGCCGCCCTGCTCCTGGCGTCCCCGGGGACTGCTGTGGACGCCAGAGCCTGGACGGAGGAAAAGGTGAGAGGCTGCTTCTAGGGGATTGTCCCCAGAGGCTCTGGCCGTGCGCGGGGACCGCGGGCCGGGGCTCGTTCCTCCCGGGCAGGGCGCGCAGCTGGCCGAGGCGGGACCCTGGGGGCCGGCGCCCACCCCGCCGGGAGGAGGGGAGCCCAGGCTGGTTTCCCTCAGAAGTGCTTAGACGACGCTAGGGCCCGAGTGATGTCACCGGCTTCCCCTGGGCTGCGGTCTCTTGGGGGCACTGATCCGCACAGGAAGTGTGTCTGGCCGGGCAGCGACCCAGTGCGGAGATGGGGGCGCGTCGCAGCCCACGGGGACCCCCTAACCACCCCCACCCCGTCCCCACCATGACGCGGTCCCCGCGTTCAGGGACGCTCCATGCTACATCCGATCATGCTGTTAGGGTGTTGACGTTTCTAGGCTGTCCAGGATAGACGTGGGTTATTGTTTTAGATTTTAAAACTCGGAACAAAGGATCTGCACTGGAGACCTGCTTTTCTTGAACACCAATTCGCGAGAGAAAGGAGAGAGAGAGAAAATTGAATTTTTAGAGAGCTAGTTTAATATTCATATAAGGGACTTAGAAAAGTGATTTGCAAATTTCTACTGTTCTCACTGCCATTGCTGACTCACAGGAACCCTGTAGGACAGGGTCGAACTGTCCCAGTGAGTGTCCAAGAGTGCATCCCCAGATGAGCTTGTCTCAAACTGATGACCTTCAACTCCTAACCACTACACCCCCAGGGCGCCCTGTGAAGAGGACAGGCTCACAATTCTTTCCCCTGGTTGTGTAAGAGTTTTGAGGTTTTGATGAAATTGCTGGAAGCTTATGTCAATCTGAATGTTACGTGGTAGAGTGGTATGTCTCTAAAGATACTGAGAAAAGCAGCTCAGTTAGGGGCATTAACTTTGACAGGATTATTGAACATCTCTTTTAAGTGCTTGCGCTTACTCAGACCAGTGAACCGCACTGGTGAATGAACAGGCCCGTGGTTCACTCCCACCTCTCCACCCCGCTGCTTGCATGGGTCTATGAAGAGCTGCTTCGGTTCTGGGTCTTCAGTTTAGTTCTGGGCCTCCTTGACTTTGCATCAAAGCACCTCTCTGGTCAGAAACCGAGACCAACCTAGAACCCAAACCAAGCCCTGGCCTGCTTAGCACACGCCGACTCCTGGTGAGCCACGTCCACAGAGTGGAACTGATTCACAGGGTTCTCATGACTAAAATCTATCTGGAAGTAGATTGCCAGACCTCTCTTCTGAAGCAGCATTGGGTAGGCTCCAACTGCCAACTGTGTTCTAAGGTGACACTCATTGGGTTGCCAGTGGTGCAGTGTTGGACTGCTAAGTGAAAATTCATGGTCTGAACTCACCTAGTGGCCCATGGAGGAAAGGCCTGGTGATCTCGTGTAAAGATGAGAGCCCGCCCCCCAACCCAAGCTAAACTCATTGCTGTCGAGTCTCTGATTCACAAAGACCCTATAGGACAGGGTTCCTAAGTCTGTAACCTATTGAAGATGGCCACATCTTCCTCCCGGGGAGCCACTCGTGGGCTGGAAACACTGACTGTTCTTTTCGTCTTTGGTTCGCAACCCAGTGCTTACCCACCGCACCACCAGGCCTCTTTCTCTAAAGGTGACGGCTGAGAAAACCCCGTGAGGCAGTTCTACTCTGTCACATGCAGGTGCTATGAATGGAAATCCTTTTCACTCCACCCAACAATAAAGTCAGGACCTTGTGAGCTGAGGGCCAACTCGACCACAATAACAACACTCAAACACAAACCTTTGGTGTCAGGCAGGGGCCTTTACCAGAACGTAGAATCACAGCAAGTATGCCCTCATGGCACAGCTACATGGGTGGAGATGGAAAATGTTCTGTAGAGATCATTGATAGGGCGAGCGGGTGAGTGCGAAAAGCTGTTGTGATTCTTAAAAAGTGTTTTAAAGGAATTAATTTTCTTTCTTGGAAATGCCTTCTGCATCATGGATTCCTTACTTGTTTATTTTGGAAGCTCTTAAGCCCTGTGCTGCTCACGCATGCTGCCAAGCAGCATCAGTAAATGAAGCTAATGGCAAAATCAGCCATGCCCACATTTCCGGTTTTCTAGCCCCTTCTCCCCTCTAATTCTGTGGACCTTTGTAAAGTCTCCCAGGCAACCTGTGGCCTGCAGATGAATCAGTCACAGTAATATACATACCGTGCCGACTCATAGGACCTGTCTCTTTAGCACAGTCACCTGACCGTTTAAAAAATAAGGTGCATTGATTTTGAAATTTATTTCCTTTTTTGACATAAAGGTGTGCCCTTTCAGTGGTATCTGATATGTACAAACAGGTCAACCGTAGGTTGGGATTGTATTTTAAAGACTCTAACTCTATGACTTGGATTCTGGAAACAATGTTTCCACTGAAGCACTATTATAAATGGTACAATTCCCATGTGGGTCCATCGATGTATTTAGCAGCATCTAGGTACCAGGAAGGGTATACTCATCTTCAGTGTAGAGATGTAAGAAAGGAACATTGGTAGAATTTTCCTTTATTACAACAGAAGTGAAATAGAAAAAAATTCAAGACATATTGGTCATGAGAGGCAGACCTTTTAAAGAAAGTAGAATTAGAAGAAAAAGTGGAGGGTTTAACAGGATATTCTTGATTTCATTTCTTGAGATGGGTTATGTAACACATATATAGTAGGTTTCTTTAAAATCTACCCCCCAAAAAAGAACCCAAATCCTCCAGATTCCTATCCCTCAAACCAAAAATAGTTGTTTTAAAAAAAAGAAGAGGAAAAGTAAAATTGAAATGGACTTGGAGTCTTCAGTGACAAACAAGTTCATCTCAAACAAACAAACTAACAAAGATAATGGGGAATTTTCCACGAATCTTTTTGAAGCCCTCTGGTATAGAAGTCTACTCCAAAGTCAGCTTCTGCTTCTCCCAGAATTCCCCACATGCATTGAGACCCACATGTCTTCCATATGTATTCTAGATGTGTTCAGGGGATCTTTCCTCCATAGTTAGAAAGTTGGAGAAATCCCTACCTTCGCCACCTCCACTAAGAAGATCATTATGGAAGCAGTAGTTGTGACCTAAGACGGGGACACAGGTCACTGGTAGGTTGGTGTTGGGAAGGGGAGGAAGAAACCCTGTATCCATTAGTAGTAGGATGACATCCATTTTTCACATTGGGAATCTTTTCTTAGTCATGGCTGATCAGTGAGGGAGCTGAATTTGGCCCTAAATTGTCCTCAAAGCTCATCGTGCTGCACCTCTACGTAGAGGGCTGCTTGTATTTTTAAAACAGATTTTACCTTTTCCAGTTCCTGACTCGCCCGCAGCTGCATTTGCAATGCCGGTGACATCTGACACACAGGAGTTCAGTAAACACTGGAGTGCTGAATTGATAGGTAGACAGAGGTGTTTGTCTGAGCGCCGTCTGAGAGACACCCATGTGGGGTGGAAACAAAGTGAAGGGGTTGCACTTCTGGGATGATCTCTTTTTGATTTAGTGGCTTGGGAACTCGAATCCTTCTGCGAGCTGAGCCAATGATACACGTTATAGTATAACACCTTTGGCCTGGAATCGTGTGATTAGCTCAGAGAGACCTGGCGCAGGAGATCTGGTTCACATTTTTCAGCTGAGAAATTCTTGTCACTTTCAACAGCCTTGCCCTTTCTGCCTGGATGAAAAGACAAGGCCATGCCCCATTCCTCTGAGCACATGTGTGTTGCGTTGTTAGGTGCTGTTGTGTGTACTCTGACTCCTGGTGACCCCATGTCTGCAGAGTAGAACTGCTTCATAGGGGTTTCAAAGCTGCCACCTTTAGCGAACAGATTCCCAAGCTTGTCTTTGGAGGCACCTCTGGGTGGCTTCAAGCTGCTGGCCTTTTAGCTAGTAGTCAAGTACTCAGCTGTTTGTGCCACTAAGGGACCCTGTGCACACTTGGACCCATAAAAAATAGTCTATATGCCTTTTATCTAAAGCACGCCTCGCCAGTAGCGTACGGTAGATGAAATGTGGACAGGGTCTAAATGATTTCAAATGAAGATGAAAGCGCTACCACCCACTGCATTTGGTTTCCTTTAGCTTTTCATGATAAATTTGAGTGCTTTGGAAAAGCTGATGATTGAGTTGAATATAACTTAAAACAAGCAAGCAACCAAGCCAAACCCACACACTCCTGAAAACAGTCCGCAATCCTTTGTGGTTTACATTTCTCATTGGACTCAACCCAGTTTGTGCCGCCGTTAATTTCTTCATCCTCAGGCCACACTTTCTTTCCAGTTTCCTCCTCTTTCTTCTTTCTTTCATCTCCAGCCAAGTTATGTTCCCCCTGAGATGTATTGAGTTCTTGCCGTTGAGGTGCCATGAGCATCGGCTGCCTGCTCCTTAGGTTGGAAAAGTCTCATGTATTTCCACCCAGGGCTCTCACTAGTGGGAGGGCTCCAGGAATGAGCTGAGTGTGGCCGTTTCTCATAGCCTTCTCCAGCCCCCACTGAAGCTTTAGCTGTAGTTTCTGCTTTTCTCCCTGAGAGGTAGGGGAAGAGTGCTCTTCGCTGAATTGTGTGAACACAGGGGTTGAGCCCAGGAAGTTTAAGAGCAAGGATGTTGGGTAAGCATCATTTGACTCACCTCAAGGTTAGAAGTCCAAACCCATCAGCCGCTCCTTGGGAGGGTGAAATGATCTGTTCCTATAAAGATCTAGTGTCTCTATAGGGTCCTTTGATTCACTATAAACTCGGTGGCAGTTGGGTGACGGGGACAAATCTTTAGTGCTTCTAATTATTGACCACATTGCAGCCACAATCTCTGTTTGCAGCTTGAGATGCTGGAGGTTTATTTATTTTGTTCCCATTTCTTTCTCTCTTAAATCTCTTGAGAATTCTTTCCACCCTCTGTTTAAAGCACCTATTTCAACTTGAGCTTGACTGACTTTCACTGTGGACCTGAATGAAGGACCCTGGTCACAGTGACCAGGGGGGCCCTGGGAGATGGTCA